GAACATTGTTGTCAGGTAGTTCTATAGATGGAACATTGTTGGAAGGTCATTATATAGATGGAACATTGTTGTCAGGTAGTTCTATAGATGGAACATTGATGGAAGGTCATTATATAGATGGAACATTGTTGGAAGGTCATTATATAGATGGAATATTGTTGTCAGGTAGTTCTATAGATGGAACATTGTTGTCAGCTAGTTTTATAGATGGAACATTGTTGGAAGGTCATTATATAGATGGAACATTGTTGGAAGGTCATTATATAGATGGAACATTGTTGTCAGGTAGTTCTATAGATGGAACATTGTTGGAAGGTCATTATATAGATGGAACATTGTTGTCAGGTAGTTCTATAGATGGAACATTGTTGTCAGGTAGTTCTATAGATTGAACATTGTTGGAAGGTCATTATATAGATGGAACATTGTTGTCAGGTAGTTCTATAGATTGAACATTGTTGGAAGGTCATTATATATACTGATGGAAATAAATAAGGGATCGCATAGTGTGTTTGGTCAATGAGTCTGAATGTTGTTATTTTTTTTTGGCCGTTTTTCGGAAGTACATGGTCAACATCTCCAAAACGCAGGGTATCACCTATAGAAAGACATGCAGTGCACGTAGTTTTTCATGGCGCAATGGGGTATAAAGTCTTCTACTGTAAGACCGATCTCATTGACATCAACTGCATGAAACATGCCAAGATAGTACATGTGTTTGAAGGAGAAATGGCAGGCAATCGTGATGGTGAGGTCAGGCCAGTCACTGCGAGAAGTTGCAAGACACTTTCATAAGTCCATCAGTGTCCTCTCACGGCTGCAGAACCTCTGCAGGCAGACCGGCGATGTTGTCATGAGACGTGGGCGTGGGCCACCAAAGAAAACTACAGCTCGTCAGATTCGGCTAATTTGTTTCAGGGATCGCTTTAAACCTGCCCCAAAAGTAAATACCGAGTTCAGAGCTGTCACACATCTACGGTTAAGTGATCGCACAGTACGTAACAGGCTGCGTTCAGCGGGTCTACAAAGTCGCCGTCCCGTGGTAGGAATCAGGATGACTCAAGAACACAAACGGCGAAGGTTACAGTGGGCAAGGCAGCATGGAGCCAGACAGCTGCGTCGTTGGCGATACACCATGTTCAGCGATGAGTCTCGTTTCAATATGGACAATGCAGATGGTCGGATACGTGTTTGGAGATGACGTAATGAACGATACCAAGCATGCACTGTCAAACAGCATGACAGATACGGAGGTGGATCAGTGATGGTCTGGGGTGGAATCACCTACGGCAACCGAACAGATTTGATTCGTGTGGATGGTCGTCTAACTGGTTACGCCCAGTGGTGCTTCCGTTCGCTAACAGAGTTGGGCGGTTGTTCGAGTTTCAGCAGGACAATGCAAGGCCACATACTGCTCGTGTTTCAGCTGAATTTTTTAGGCAGAACCAGGTCGCTGTGCTTCCATGGCCGGCTAAAAGTCCAGACGTTAACCCGATAGAACATTTATGGGACGTTCTTGGTCCTCGGGTGCGAGATCGCTTTAATCAACCTCGTAATCTGGACGAGATGTTTGACTGTTTATGACAAGAGTTGCATAATGTTCCAAGGGCTACAACCCGGGCATTAATTCGGAGTATGCCAAGACGTTGTCAGGCTGTTGTGAGAGCTCGTGGTGGTCACAGGTCATACTGAAGAACTGAGATTAAGTCATTATTTACCATGTAGCTTTCATTTGATCAAGTGTTGTATTAAAATCTTATGTCTGCGCCATCTATGCGATCCTTTATTTTATTCCATCAGTGTAGATGGAACATTGTTGTCAGGTAGTTCTATAGATGGAACATTGTTGTCAAGTAGTTCTATAGATGGAACATTGTTGTCAGGTAGTTCTATAGATGGAACATTGTTGGAAGGTCATTATATAGATGGAACATTGTTGTCAGGTAGTTCTATAGATGGAACATTGATGGAAGGTCATTATATAGATGGAACATTGTTGGAAGGTCATTATATAGATGGAACATTGTTGTCAGGTAGTTCTATAGATGGAACATTGTTGTCAGCTAGTTTTATAGATGGAACATTGTTGGAAGGTCATTATATAGATGGAACATTGTTGGAAGGTCATTATATAGATGGAACATTGTTGTCAGGTAGTTCTATAGATGGAACATTGTTGGAAGGTCATTATATAGATCCTAGTAATGTTCTCAGTGAGACATTTCCACTGTTGATGGAGGTGATGTTGTGCAGGCAGGTGTGGACCTGACATACATTCAACACGCAGTCCCCACAGATCAGGAGGCAACTTGCTCTAATGTCCATCATTTGTGCAACAAACTTTGATCTGTTGCCACACTAATTCAATCTATTCCTCCTCTGTTTCCTCTGTTGTTACACTAGCTTTGATGTTCTGCAACATGTTTTACTTCTCTGGATGCAGGCATTCAGAACCCTGGATTAAAACTCATGCTCTTCACAAATATTCTGTGTCAAACTGCCAGTAAAATTTAAAGTAATTAAGTTTGACTGATTTACAATGTAACTGAGCAGCATCTATTGATTCTCCAGTTCTTGCCTCTTTTTCTTTTATTATGAACAGTGAACTTGTATTTGTGCTTAAGCTCACCTGGCTAGGAGTGTCACATAAGTGTGTTGTGGTGTGTCGAGTCTATATCTCACCTGGCTAGGATTGTCACATGAGTGTTGTTAAATGTCGAGTCAGCCTTTGGATGTAAATATTTCTTCAGGATGACATGACAATACTGTTTTTCCAGGTTATATAAGAGATTAAAATGTTTGCATGATTTTGTATATTAATTAGATTAATGTGACTGAACGTTTAATGACTTGGCATTCTTGTAGATGTTTCTTTGTTTTGCATTTAGAATTCTAAAATAACCACCTTCTGTAGTTTGTGCCTGAAAGATAAACTCTGAATTTGCTTTATCAATGATCTTAGATGACCTGATCAATAGTGGGTCATGCTCCCATGATTGGTCTAACATTCATTTATACAGTGTGGCATGGGAGTGTGTTTACAAAGAATGGGACATTGTAGCGAGAGTCAGAGTGTGTTCACAATAAATGTGACACTGAAGCTACAGTAGAGTGTGTTCACAATGAATGTGACACTGAAGCTACAGTAGAGTGTGTTCACAATGAATGCGACATTGAAGCAAGAGTCAGAGTGTGTTCACAATGAATGCAACATTGAAGCAAGAGTCAGAGTGTGTTCACAATGAAAGTGACATTGAAGCTAAAGTAAAGTGTGTTCACAATGAATATGACATTGAAGCGAGAGTAGCATGTGTTCACAATGAATGTGACATTGAAGCGAGAGTCAGAGTGTGTTCATGATGAATGTGACATTGAAGCCAGAGTAAAGTGTTCGCAATGAATGTGACATTGAAGCGAGAGTAAAGTGTTCACAATGAATGTGACATTGAAGCGAGAGTCAGAGTGTGTTCATGATGAATGTGACATTGAAGCGAGAGTAAAGTGTTCGCAATGAATGTGACATTGAAGCGAGAGTAAAGTGTTCACAATGAATGTGACATTGAAGCGAGAGTAAAGTGTGTTCACAATAAATATGACATTGAAGCGAGAGTAGAGTGTGTTCACAATGAATGTGACATTGAAGCGCGACTAGTGTGTCTTCACAATGTATGTGGCATTGAAGTGAGAGTCAGAGTGTGTTCACAATGAAAGTGACATTGAAGCTAGAGTAAAGTGTTCACAATGAATGTGACATTGAAGCGAGAGTAGCGTGTGTTCACAATGAATGTGACATTGAAGCGAGAGTAAAGTGTGTTCACAATAAATGTTACATTGAAGCGAGAGTAGAGTGTGTTCACCATGAATGTGACATTGAAGCGAGAGTAAAGTGTGTTCACAATAAATGTTACATTGAAGCGAGAGTAGAGTGTGTTCACCATGAATGTGACATTGAAGCGAGAGTAAAGTGTGTTCACAATAAATGTTACATTGAAGCGAGAGTAGAGTGTGTTCACCATGAATGTGACATTGAAGCTTGGGTAAAGTGTGTTCATGATGAATGTGACATTGAAGCAAAATTAAAGAGTGTTCACAATACAGATAACATTGAAGGGGGATTAAAGTGTGGTCACAATGAATTTGACATTGAAGAAACAGTAAAAAGTGTTCACAATGAGTTTTACATTGAAATGTGAGTAAAAAGTGTTCACAATACAGATGTGTGTTCACTGTTTAGGTTTTTTGTGGGATTGCCAGCTATTGTGTAACCTTCATTAGCTCCGTACCAGAGAGATTGTGTAACCTTTATAACCTCCCTGACAGAGAAACTCGGGGAATGTGGCTTCTCCAACAGAGAAACCAATTATTCTGTTAAACCAAGTTAACGCAAAAAAAAACAACCGGGAGGATACAGTTCTTTCACTGCTGAGCGCAGAATAAAACATACATTATACTGAAGAATTCCTGTTGTCTCGTGCTCCAAGTTAATGTCCCCTGTGAAGTCATTACATATTGTAAATTGTCTTGTAGTGTTGCAGCATGTGTACCATGGTATTAATTGTTGTATAGTGTTTATTAGTAGTATGTTTATCATTGATTTATAGCAACTGGCTCATCCTGATTCACTGCCAGTTCGATTTCCATTTCTTCCTCCTTGCCTCTTCTTCCTCCTTGCCTCTTCTTCTGAATATTCTCCCTCAATTAGTCCTTGATCAAGGAATATTAGAAAGAAAATATATGGACATTGATGAGCCATATTGTACTAACAGTGATCGGAGTGTACTTTCTTCTAGAAGGTATAGTTTCATTGCTATGTTTGTGTCTGGTTCTTCATTGTCTATATATGCGTCATCTGACAGCTTTAAATGCTGAAACAAATACAGTATTTAAAGCATCTATTTTCTATGGTCTAATACCCTGTGTAAACAATCCTTTCAGTTCCCTAGCTTCATGAAAGTGAGATATTCCTGCTCAGCACTAACCAGAGCGTTGTTGTATTGCAGGCACACCCTTCAAGGACAGAGAGAGTGGCGCTTCGAGACAGCGATACTCCCAGGTGTTACTGCTGCTGTTACTATTCCACATATACCAGTCTTCATGTACGTAGCAGCATGGAGGCTGCTGTCACCCTCCTCCTCCTCAGCCTTGGTGCTATAGTGTGCCTTTGTCAGTGTGGTCCTCCCAGCAACCAGAACAATAGAAATCTCTGCAATTTGTGGATATTTTTGAGAAAATGTGTTTGTGATATTACAAAATTTTAATTGTACAGTTTTTCACAAATGAATTTGAAATGGAACTTTAATGATTTCTTTGTGTGTTGAAAACAATTTTTGGTTCTTGGAGATTTTGAGTGAGAGGCACAGAAAGTGAGCTACACGACATGGTGAGACTGGCTGGCTGACTGTGAAGCTGGGAACCACAGCCTGCCTTCCTGCCTGCAGCATTCAGCAGCAAGGACCTGTTTATTCAGGAAAGATAGACCAAAGCTGGATGTGTGTGTTGAAATAGAGATGGAATTGCTTTTAGTTATTTTGAATGTGAGCAAAATTGCATTCGATGATGAAGTTGTTTTGTCTGATCTGCAAAAGGATAGCATTGTAAGTGATGTCGTATACAAATGGATGGTGTTCCCTTGTGAAGAAATTCACTACCAATGGAGTCAGTGTCGAGATTCAGCAGCAGCTGTTGCCTTGTGTGTTTGTGAAATCGATATTGGAGACGTGCACAATGATGTCGAAATACAGCCGGGAACCAATAAAACGGGTACAAGAAGCTTTGCAAATTATTGCTTAACTGAATTAAGGTCTGCAGTGAAATCGAACCCTGGATTGAAATCAAACTGCACCATCAGATGGGAATGTTTTTGATCTATTTCAGATTAATCCTTTTCGGTTGATTGCGTTTTCAGAATGACATTTGCAGTGATCTTTACGAGGAGTCCATTACAGTATCATCAAGGGAGATAACTCGGAAAATAGTGGAGTGGAATTACGCTGTAGTTTATTGCAAGTTTTTATCTCAAATTGGAAAAGAAATTTATATTGTTTTGTTACGGACAAGCTCTTTACAATGGATCACATTCACTGGAAAGGAATATATGTTGTACTAGATGCAAACACTGTCCTGAAAGCAAGCTCTGTCCCAGACACTTGAGCATCTTGCTGTGCATAGTACAGTCCATATAAAGGAAGCTCTGCACCAGAGCTGGCTCCCAGCAGATTAGAGATCTGACTGTTGGTGGTTGACGGGTACTACATCGAACTTCACAGAGGCTGACACTTTCCCTTGTCCTAGGCAGCAACATGTGTGTCAGTGAAAGGAAAAAGGTTTTATACTTCTATTTAAATGGTTTCACTGAATATTGAATTGTGGGTCTTTATGGGAACTTCCTTGAAATACCCAGCTGACCGATCCTGTATGACATAGCTCTCATACTGTCTGACAGATGGGAGACAACCCAACGTCTCTGACGTAGTTAGTACTCCAGCGTGGGGACAATTCACCTTGTCTGTCCTAGCAGTCATAACTGAAGACAATTCACCCTGTCTGACATTGCTAGCAGTCCAGCAGGGGAGACAACTCCTGCAGTCTGGTGTTGTCGCTGTTGGACAGGGGAGACAACTCCTGCAGTCTGGTGTTGTCGCTGTTGGACAGGGGAGACAGCTAACCCTGTTTGAAGCAGTAAGCAGTCAGGCAGGGGAACATCTCACCCTGTGTGATTCTGTTAGCAGCTTGATAGGGGAGACAACTCACCCTCACCAATGTTGATAAATTGCTACTAAACTTATAATGTACCGTCCCTTCCTTGAGGTACAGTAAAACATTGGCCAATGTCGCAAAAATCAAGCGCCACATGGGCTAAATATTGTTTTTCTTCCTAAATACTCTTCCTTGCCAATGCTTCTCCTGACTAAGAATACTGCCCTAGCCAGCATGTATGTAATGAGAATGGGCCAATATGGATACTGCGGGCAATACTGATATTGACCAAAATGTAACTACCCTTTGCATGGATTTGAACTTGAGTGAATAATATAAGAATTCTTACAATGTGCTAGCTTCCATGCAACACGCATGCTGAAAGTGCTGACAACACACACTAATATATACACTAGAGTTAAGAGGCTGAGTTATTAAACAAAAGTATTTTAAGTCTTGCCTTGAAAATATCAAGTGATGAGGCTATTCTGAGGGCAACAGGAAGTGCATTCCATAATTCCTTTGAATGTTACCTCAATTACATAACAGCCATAAAATCTTGTTTGGGCTGTCAGCACACTATAAAATCTTGTTTGGGCTGTCAGCACACTATTAAATCTTGTTTGGGCTGTCAGCACACTATAAAATCTTGTTTGGGCTGTCAGCACACTATAAAATCTTGTTTAGGCTGTCAGCACACTATAAAATCTTGTTTGGGCTGTCAGCACACTATAAAATCTTGTTTGGGCTGTCAGCACACTATAAAATCTTGTTTGGGCTGTCAGCACACTATAAAATCTTGTTTGGGCTGTCAGCACACTATAAAATCTTGTTTGGGCTGTCAGCACACTATAAAATCTTGTTTGGGCTGTCAGCACACTATAAAATCTTTAGACTTTCAACTTCCCTGATTATGTCAATGAATAAAACTCTGCACAACAACTCTATTCTCAATATGGCCGCAATTAGTGCATTTGCATTGTCCCTGAAATCAGCCCCATCACTTGATTATTGTAGTTTAGGGCTACAACACAGGCCACTTGTTTTGAATCCAGTTTATGCAAACCCATTGTTTCAGTTGAGGTAAAGATATGTATGGGTGTCAGATTCTGGTGTGGTTATCCAGGCCCTGCAGCTGAATGCAGACAGCAGCTCAACTACATCACTAAAACTCAGTACTTCAACTCAGGTGTAATGAGTTTATTGGAATTAAGTGTCACACATTTGTAGGTCATGATGTGTGAGTAAATCTCCCAGACCTTTGTGCATCTGTCTAACCATTGATTGTATATATCACAGAGCCATGACACCTGTGACTAGAAATTGTAAAATATCTTAATGTTGCATTCATGATTTAATGTCCTTATCGTTTTCATCATCATATTTCCATTTCTATTGCTGTTATATATTTAATTTGTTGATTAATTTTGTGTGATTTATGTCAGAATGAGTGTCAAGATTATTATTTATAGAACTGATGCTAAACTTTTGACATTCGTGTACTGCACAATATATGATATTGAGAGAAGAGTATTGGTAATTTTCCAAACCCTATCTCTGAAAGGTGTTCAGCTGAAAGCCTTGGAGGTGTTTAGTTGGAAGCCTAAGAGGTGTTCAGCTGGCAACATGAGAGGTGTTCAAGTGGACGTCTTTGAGGTTTCAGCAGGAAGCCTGAGATGTGTTCAGCAGGAAGCCTAGAGGTGTTCAGCTGGAAGCCTAGAGGTGTTCAGCTGGAAGCCTAGAGGTGTTCAGCTAGAAGCCTAGAGGTGTTCAGCTGGAAGCCTAGAGGTGTTCAGCTGGAAGCCTAGAGGTGTGTTCAGCTGGAGCCAGGGGGGTGTTCAGCTGGAAGCCTAGAGGTGTTCAGCTGGAAGCCTAGAGGTGTTCAGCTAGAAGCCTAGAGGTGTTCAGCTGGAAGCCTAGAGGTGTTCAGCTGGAAGACAGGGGGTGTTCAGCTGGAAGCCTAGAGGTGTTCAGCTGGAAGCCTAGAGGTGTTCAGCTGGAAGCCTAGAGGTGTTCAGCTGGAAGCCTAGAGGTGTGTTCAGCTGGAAGCCTAGAGGTGTTCAGCTAGAAGCCTAGAGGTATCCAGCTGGAAGCTTAGAGGTGTCCAGCTGGAAGCCTAGAGGTGTTCAGCTTGAGCCAGGGGGGTGTTCAGCTGGAAGCCTAGAGGTGATCAGCTGGAAGCCTACATGTGTTCAGCTGGAAGACAGGGGGTGTTCAGCTGGAAGCCTAGAGGTGTTCAGCTGGAAGCCTAGAGGTGTGTTCAGCTGGAAGCCTAGAGGTGTTCAGCTAGAAGCCCAGAGATGTCCAGCTGGAAGCTTAGAGGTGTCCAGCTGGAAGCCTAGAAGTGTTCAGCTGGAAGCCTAGAGGTGTTCAGCTGGAAGCCTAGAAGTGTTCAGCTGGAAGCCTGAGATGTGTTCAGCTGGAAACCTAAGGGTGTTCAGCTCGAAACCTGAGATGTGTTCAGCTAGAAGCCTAGAGGTGTGTTCAGCTGGAAGCCTAGAGGTGTTCAGCTAGAAGCCTACAGGTGTCCAGCTGGAAGCTTAGAGGTGTCCAGCTGGAAGCCTAGAGGTGTTCAGCTGGAGCCAGGGGGGTGTTCAGCTGGAAGCCTAGAGGTGTTCAGCTGGAAGCCTAGAGGTGTTCAGCTGGAAGCCTAGAAGTGTTCAGCTGGAAGCCTGAGATGTGTTCAGCTGGAAACCTAAGGGTGTTCAGCTCGAAACCTGAGATGTGTTCAGCTGGAAGCCTAGAGGTGTTCAGTTGGAAGCCTGAGAGGTGTTCAGTTGGAAGCCCGAGAGGTGTTCAGTTGGAAGCCTGAGAGGTGTTCAGTTGGAAGCCCTAGAGGTGTTCAACTGGAAGCCTGAGAGGTGTTCAGTTGGAAGCCCGGGAGGTGTTCAGTTTGAAGTATTTGAGGTGTTCAGCTGGAGCCAGGGGGGTGTTCAGCTGGAAGCCTAGAGGTGTTCAGCTGGAAGCCTAGAAGTGTTCAGCTGGAAGCCTGAGATGTGTTCAGCTGGAACTCTAAGGGTGTTCAGCTCGAAACCTGAGATATGTTCAGCTGGAAGCCTAGAGGTGTTCAGTTGAAAGCCTGAGAGGTGTTCAACTGGAAGCCAGGGGGGTGTTCAGTTGGAAGCCTGAGAGGTGTTCAGTTGGGAGCCTAGAGGTGTTCAGTTGGGAGCCTGAGAGGTGTTCAACTGGAAGCCTGAGAGGTGTTCAGTTGGAAGCCTGAGAGGTGTTCAGTTGGAAGCCTGAGAGGTGTTCAGTTGGAAGCCTTAGAGGTGTTCTGTTGAAAGCCTAGAGGTGTTCAACTGGAAGCCAGGGGGGTGTTCAGTTTGAAGTATTTGAGGTGTTCAGTTGGAGGCCTGAGAGGTGTTCAGTTGGGAGCCTAGAGGTGTTCAGTTGGGAGCCTAGAGGTGTTCAACTGGAAGCCTGAGAGGTGTTCAGTTGGAAGCCTGAGAGGTGTTCAGTTGGAAGCCTGAAAGGTGTTCAGTTGGAAGCCTGAGAGGTGTTCAGTTGAAAGCCTAGAGGTGTTCAACTGGAAGCCAGGGGGGTGTTCAGTTTGAAGTATTTGAGATGTTCAGTTGGAAGCCTGAGAGGTGTTCAGTTGGGAGCCTAGAGGTGTTCAACTGGAAGCCAGGGGGCTGTTCAGTTAGAAACATAAGAGGTGTTCCGCTGGAAACATAAGAGGTGTTCAGTTGGAAGCCTGTGAGGTGTTCAGTTGGAAGCCTGAGAGGTGTTCAGCTGGAAGCCTGAGAGGTGTTCAGTTGGAAGCTTGGAAGGTGTTCAGTTGGAAGCCTGGAAGGTGTTCAGTTGGAAACATAAGAGGTGTTCAGCTGGAAACATAAGAGGTGTTCAGCTTGAAACATACGAGGTGTTCAGTTGGAAGCCTGAGAGATGTTCAGTTGGAAGCCTGAGAGGTGTTCAGTTGGAAGCCTGGAAGGTGTTCAGTTGGAAGCCTGGAAGGTGTTCAGTTGGAAACATAAGAGGTGTTCAGCTGGAAACATAAGAGGTGTTCAGCTGGAAGCCTGGAAGGTGTTCAGTTGGAAGCCTGGAAGGTTTTCAGCTGGAAACATAAGACGTGTTCAGCTGGAAACAGAAGAGGTGTTCAGTTGGAAGCCTGGTATGTTCCCAGTGGTCCGATCACTAAGCAGGTTTTCTTCTGAAACATGTAGCAGAAGCTTCCTAATGAATGAAATGTATTTCTATGCAGTCACTGGGAGGAGGAACAGGCCCCGACAAGAAGTCTTAACATTACAACTTCTGGAGGGGACATGCTATAGTGTGCTACAACTGGCACAACATAGCCCAGCGATCTCTGTGTGAAACAAGGCCCAGCCTCCTGTGCAGCAGATTTATGACTTGTGCAGGAATCAATCGGTGACTGACGAAGAGGAACACTTATTGTTGACCGGATAAGTCAGCACTCCAACCAGCAGGTTTATGACTTGTTCAGGAATCAATCACAGTCAGTGACATTTTATTTAGGGTCAAGCAATACAAAATGATTGTATTGTTGTGATGGGTCCATCAGTTTGGCCACAGTAAGTTTGTGTTTGTCACGATGCAAGAACACAGGCTTCTCTCCGATTTTAAGCTTAGCTCAAGAGGTTGACTGGTGCAAGCAAGGGAGGTTTACTGATGCATGCTACAGAGATACATGGATGCATGCTACAGAGATACATGGATGCATGCTACAGAGATACATGGATGCATGCTACAGAGATACATGGATGCATGCTACAGAGATACATGGATGCATGCTACAGAGATACATGGATGCATGCTACAGAGATACATGGATGCATGCTACAGAGATACATGGATGCATCATCAGGGTTAGGGTCGGGGTGGGAACAATAGGGTGTTTGGTTTCCCAACAGTAATTATAATAGCTACTTGCAAATGTTAAGAGTCTTTCTCCCATCACTGTGTAGGACAGGACTCTCGGTCTCTGAACTGCAATTACCAGATATGCTTTTAGTGGCACTTTTTTAATCTTAAAAAGTGGGTGAGGCCTTTTAGTTAGGTGCCATTGTCAGTCTCAGTCTAGACAGTGTAATTACTTGGCTTGAGGATGGAGACGCTGGCTCATTGTATTTAAGGGAACTGCGTATTGCTTGGTTGAATGTAATTGAGACAACTTTGTACTGCGAGGTTGAAGTCTACAGCTAACCCGAAGTTACTATGTGAGCTGAGCTTTCTTTAAAAGTCTAATTCAAACTGCTTTGATTCAAGCTCATTTCATTCTTCTGTCAGCGTCATCCATTCAGGAGGGTAAAAGCCAAAGTAATACAGGCTTAAGACAAGTACTGCACTTGCAGGACACCCAACTGGGCTGTGAAAATTATAAGCAGCGATGGTTAGGTATGTCTCATTCCCAGTTATTGATATTGATATAAATTTATCTGAAAGCGCAGCCTAGGTAACCAAAAAATTGAACTAAATAGTCTCTTTCCACTGCAGTTAACGTCAAATAATTCCTGGCGTTCGGAATATGATTGTGCTCCGATTTCATATGACCGGTTCGGTTACAGTTCTTTCCACCTGTGACAGGGAGTGTTGCTTTTAACTAAACTGACGTCCAAAAGAAACTTTACCAGAGTTTGAAATCACTCTTGCTCAAAAACAACAAAACATACATGCATGAAGTAAAGTGTATTGAGAAGATCAATATATTAACATAATCAACACTGCAAATGACAATCATACCGCGACCGAGAATGACGTCAGAGCCCCCCAAAGTTGGGTGTGGTACAAAACTCGAGCTTTCAGAATCATGGACAATAGGCAGAGTACATAAACAATCGCTCACGTTCAATAACAAGTCATTAGTAGTGTGTGTGACCACCAAATGCCTCAATACATGCAAAAACTCTTCGACGCACAGAAAAAGTCAGTCGTCTGATGAGGTCACGTGGGATTTAACGCCATTCTTCTTGGAGGGCCAAGATAAAATCTTGCCGGTTGGCTGGAGAGTGTGGTCAAGTCCCAGAGGTGTTCTATGGGGGACATGTCGGGTGAGCGTGCAGGCCACGGCAGGACGTTGACGTTGTTGGCTGCGAGGAAGTTAGTGACAATTCTGGCTGTATGGGCTCTATCGTTGTCATGCTGATAAATGACACCACGTGGCTGCTGTTGGAGAAATGGTAGGACAACTGGACGAAGAATGTTATCCATGTAACGCTGAGCTGTCAAGTTTCCGTCAACGATGACCAGCGGTGTCCTCTCCTGCAAACAGATCCCTCCCCACACCATGACACTCCCTCCACCATATGGTACGACCTTCTGCACGCAACACGCCGCCGTTCGTTCACCCCTTCGGCGGTAAACACGTTGTCTTCCATCAGCCCTAAACATACAGAATCGACTTTCGTCAGTGAAGACAACCCTCTGCCAGTCACGTCGTTGCCAACGTCGTACAGTCCGGGCCAATCTCAATCGCAGACGACGATGTTGCGCTGTCAATAGCTGTCATCTGTATGGTCTAAAAGCCCTGATTCCATGAGCCCTGAGTCTCCTGGCCACTGTCTGTTGACTATCCCTGTAACCTAAGGCATATGTCGCCGATGACGTCACTGTCAGGAAGCGATTTCGGAGGTGCAAGGTACGCAAGTACCGGTCATCATGGGGCGTGGTCAACCTGGGTCTGCCTGTTCTTGGCCTGTCAGCGGTCCGTCCTGTCTGTCTGTAACGTTGCATCAAGTTGGTAACGGCAACACGGGAGCAACCGAAGGTTCGTACAATATGGGCGTGGGTGGCTCCCATCTGTACCATACCCACGGCTCGTTCACGTTGTTCGACTGTGAGTCGTGGCATTTATTTTGTGTTTTTTTATCACTGTTGATGTCTGACTTGCCGTTGCAATCGTTTTATACCCTGACCCGCACGTGCATTTGCAGTTGTCCGTGGTGCACGTGTTTTTCCCTTTTTCGCGTGTTATCGCAAACATGTAACAGACGATTAACATTTTCTGCATACGCTATTGTTTTATTTAGGTTATGTGTTTTAGATAGACTTCATCGAAATTTTTTTTATACTCTGTCTGAAATTTATATTTTCAGTTGGTAAAGTTTCTTTTGGACGTCAGTTTAATACAGTTGTACTGCCATCATGTTCATGATACTCAATGTTTGATACCTCTTGAAATTGATTCTCATACGTAATCATTTAAGAAAAACAATACAGCCAATCGCTTCACACCGTATCTTCGAGCGCAAGCACGTGTAGATTATTTTCAATTGGTGAACTCCATATCTATTTGTAACAAACGGTCTCAAAGCAATGGTGATAGAGTGCCCTGGACCCAAAATAGATACATCCTGAAAAAGAGACTTTACAGTGTGAGATTCGTTTTTCTTTGTGTTTTTATTAAAGTTTTAATATCATATTTCTCCATGCAAACATTGTAATGTTGAGATTAGAAAAATCAAATCTGATTTTTCGAAGTCATCTTGTATTCGTGCCACGCTTGGTTAAGGTTGAAGTGCCCTTGTTCATCTTCATTAATTAATGCAACAATGAGGCAGCCCCTACCTCTTTTAGACTCAACAATGAACATTCACTCTTCAAAAAAAGAAACGCACAGGTAGATTTTTAGTAAATTTATTGTACCAAATAAAGTCTATATATCTAATTTAATATCATAGATACAAATATGAAATTTTGAAGCTTGATAATCACATGTTGTCGTACAAAGGCATTGCAAACTGTTCATTGTAATGTCACATAAGGCCACAGGGTGGCGCTGAACTCAGTTTCTCGTGTGACCGCCCCGAGCAGTAGTCACGGCTCTGCATCTCCTCAGCGCTGACTGGATAAGTGTACGAATTCTGTACTGCGGAATTCTGCGCCATTCTGCTTGTAACGGCGCTGGACAGTTGTGGGAGTGTCCGCGGCGTGTTCTGACGTTGACGTACACGTCAATCGAGGTCATCCCAGAGGTGTTCGATTGGGTTAAGTTCAGGAGATCTCGACAGCCAGGGCTAGACGTTGATGTCGGCATTATGAAGGTAGTCTACCGTGACGCGAGCTGTGTGCAATGGAGCGTTGTCCTGTTGAAACACCTCCCTTTGGCGGTCAATGATTGGAAGGAGGTGAGGTTGAAGAATTTGATTCATGTAGCGATTTGCTGTCAAATTTCCCCGAACCACAACCAAGTGACATCTCGTGGTGTAGGATATGCCCCTCCCCCCCCCCCCCCCCCCCCCCCCCCCACACACACACACACCATTACACACCATTACAACGAGCCGTGGGTATGGTACAGATGGGAGCCACCCACGCCCATATTGTACGAACCTTCGGTTGCTCCCGTGTTGCCGTTACCAACTTGATGCAACGTTACAGACAGACAGGACGGACCGCTGACAGGCCAAGAACAGGCAGACCCAGGTTGACCACGCCCCATGATGACCGGTACTTGCGTACCTTGCACCTCCGAAATCGCTTCCTGACAGTGACGTCATCGGCGACATATGCCTTAGGTTACAGGGATAGTCAACAGACAGTGGCCAGGAGACTCAGGGCTCATGGAATCACACTACCGCCACCGAATTTGTCGAATTCACAAGAGGCAAAACGCTCATTTCGACGACGATAAACACGTTGTCTTCTATCTCGCCGGTGAAGAAGAAATCGTGATTCATCGCTAAACCACACTCTTCTCCAGTTTCTCAAATTCCAAGGCTGTAAGGTATGGCACCAACGCAAGCGTTGCTGTCGATGGATTTGTTTCAAAATAGGGATGATAACTGGTCTTCTGGGTTGGATTCCAGCCTCGCGAAGATGGTTCCTGACAGTCTGGTCCGATATCCTTCTCAAATCAGGGATGCCTCCTGCAGTCTCCGTAGCTGTGGCATTGCGATGACGTCGGTGAAACAGTCGAATGTAGCGATCCTTTGCAGGGGTGGTAACTCTTTGTCGGACGGTCTGTAGTGGAATTGAACAGTGTATATCGGTCATAAAGGAGGCAAATGGTGCTGTGGTGGACGTCGAAGTGGCATGCAACAGAAGACAGAAGATTCCCCTCTTTTGATACGTCATATGGCGATGTTCCAATCTCGACATTTTCGAACTTGAAAAATGTTGACAATTGAATGACAAATTATTGGCTTATGCTTGCCTTTTTATAGCTACTATCACGAGTTGCGATTGCCATAACTTGCACATGCATTTTGCTTTAATGTTTTCCTCCATGACATTTTTTAACAAGTGTGAAAACAGTGCCGTTTAAGACATTGCATGTCGACAATGGCTGCATTATGACGCCACCAACATATATCCAATTTATATACCGCATTTTTGTGTAGTCAGGTTCAATGAACTTCATGCTACATGTGCGTTTCTTTTTTTGAAGAGTATATTCTAACTTCTTTGATAGGCATTTAGAAGTTGGAGTACAAAGTAAGGATATGAATTTATGGATGAACAACTTCTGTATTACAATTAAGAGCGACGTTTCTGTGTATGTTCTAACCCGGCTCCACGTTTAGTCTGAGAAGACGGTCAGTACTACCCCAGGCTCCACGTATAGTCTGACAAGACGGTCGGTGCTACCCCAGGTTCTACGTGTAGTCTTGACAAGACGGTCAGTGCTACCCCAGGCTCCACGTGTAGTCTGACAAGACGGTCAGTGCTACCCCCAGGCTCCACGTGTATCCTGACAAGACGGTCAGTGCTACCCCAGGCTCCACGTGTTATCTGACAAGACGGTCAGTGCTACCCCAGGCTCCACGTGTATCCTGACAAGACGGTCAGTGCTACCCCCAGGCTCCACGTGTAGTCTGACAAGACGGTCAGTGCTACCCCAGGCTCCACGTGTAGTCTGACAAGACGGTCAGTGCTACTCCAGGCTCCACGTGTAGTCTGACAAGACGGTCAGTGCTACCCCAGGCTCCACGTGTAGTCTGACAAGACAGTCAGTGCTACCCCAGGCTCCACGTGTATCCTGACAAGACGGTCAGTGCTACCCCAGGCTCCACGTGTAGTCTGACAAGACGGTCAGTGCTACCCCCAGGCTCCACGTGTATCCTGACAAGACGGTCAGTGCTACCCCAGGCTCCACGTGTAATCTGACAGGACGGTCAGTGCTACTCCAGGCTCCACGTGTAGTCTGACAAGACGGTCAGTGCTACCCCAGGCTCCACGTGTATCCTGACAAGACGGTCAGTGCTACTCCAGGCTCCACGTGTAGTCTGATAAGACGGTCAGTGCTACTCCAGGCTCCACGTGTAGTCTGATCAGACGGTCAGTGCTACCCCAGGCTCCACGTGTATCCTGACAGGACGGTCAGTGCTACTCCAGGCTCCACGTGTTATCTGACAGGACGGTCAGTGCTACCCCCAGGCTCCACATGTATCCTGACAAGACGGTCAGTGCTACCCCAGGCTCCACGTGTTATCTGACAAGACGGTCAGTGCTACCCCAGGCTCCACGTGTTATCTGACAAGACGGTCAGTGCTACCCCTGGCTCCACGTGTATCCTGACAAGACGGTCAGTGCTACCCCCAGGCTCCACGTATTGTCTGACAAGACGGTCAGTGCTACCCCCAGGCTCCACGTGTATCCTGACAAGACGGTCAGTGCTACCCCCAGGCTCCACGTATAGTCTGACAAGACGGTCGGTGCTACCCCAGGTTCTACGTGTAGTCTTGACAAGACGGTCAGTGCTACCCCAGGCTC